ATTAGCAATGTGCCCTTTCTTCTAAACAGAAAAGAGAACATGTTTATGGTCAGAAATAAAACTGCAGATGTACAGTGTGATCTGAAATGAGGAAACAGTAAATATCTGCATTGATAACCCTACTTTTGTTCTAGAGATTTAGAGATTAACGTTAAGAGGCAGTACTACCTCTGTTTAGACATCTTTACAAACTAGCCATGAAATTTTCTTCTCCTAACTACTCTGTCGAGCCAGTTCAGTACAAATTGCTCAGAATCCTTACAAGATACAAGAAACAATGTATTATTCCTTGTACACAAGATGTATTACCTTCCTCACATTGTTCTGAGGTTTGCAGTGAGACAGCCGGATTGAATGCTGGGATGTGGTGCTGAAAACAAACACACAGAACAAATACAGCTTTAACAAGCTATTGCTTTTATTGAAGTTGCATCTTTTTATAGCAAACTGTTCAGACTTGGTGCAATGAGGTTTTTTTCTCTTATACTGTCTTAGTATGATAGTAAATAAATTTTCAGAAATACTCTACCGTTTTTGTTAAATTCTTTAATTTCTAACTACTTTAGGTCTTTACTAAAAATAATAGTGGTGATCGTAACTATGAATTTGCTTCTCAAGAGACACCTTCAAAAACAAAGCATGGCTATCTTAGTAATAAAGGGTTTCATGTTTCACATTCAGTTTCTTTTTACTTTGTTTTTGAAACTGATGGATGAGCAATCAGGGTTCTGGAAGCAAGACCTCTTTTATTTTAGGGTGGATTACTCATCCTTTTCTTCTGTGTTATAGAAGGAGAAGGAGATGCACAACGAAATCCAAGTGAGCAGACCGGGGAGGTCCAAGGGGAGGCAGCAAAGCAAGAAAGCTGACATCCGACTTTGACCGAGTGGAGCAGCTGCTGGATGTTTTCAGACTACAAGAGCATGCAGGAACAAATTTGTTTCCATGAGCAAGCTGTTAGAAAAGAAAGTGCATGTGTCTTCACTGCTGGAACCCACTCAACACAATGCTAAAAAGGGGGGTACAAGCTGTGACAGAAGACAGAATCTCTACCTCTGTCATTAGCAATGGTTGAACGTTTATTGAGTTTTTGGGATGGTGTCATCAGATCCCTTCATAATGACTCGATGGGAGCACTTTTAGAAAGTAGAACAGGTAAATCTTGTAGCAAATGGCCTTTGAAACGTCAGAGGATCTAACTGTCTATCTTAAGCAAAGGCTTGTGTGATCCTCAGTTTAAAATTCTCTGGCCAAAGTGTTTGCCCATTATAAGAACTGTAAAGAAAGCACTGTTTTTAGAACTTTGCATCTGTTTTACAGCTCTGTTATTTACAATGGTTTTTGTATTGTACAACTTAGATGCTCTACACTGCCCCTTCTCAACTGCTTATGAAGAATATTTCTGTTACTGTGAATTTTTCTACCACGTGTTTTGAAAGGGCTGTTTTTTTGCATAAGGTGGTGATGTGCACATGATAGATCATAACATCAGTTGCTAAATTGATTATGCCTAAACCTAAATGACTCAGCAACACTCTGATTTGTTACTAGATGAGCCTTCAAAACGATTTGTTAATGTGAATATTTGAGCGCGTGTTGTGTCCTTGGTACAGTTTTGCCACTTGCCTGTAGTTAGTTGCATATCAGAGACTCAAATTAAATCTTTTATGTTATTCTTCCCCATTTTTCTAATTTTACTTCCAATTTCTTAATCTTTTCTGAGATATTTTTTTAAAATGTTAGTCCAAACATTTTATTGTTATGGTAGTTTTAAGAATACATTTATAACGTTGTATGGGTTAAAATTCAAACAAATTCCATGGTGCTAGAGGTTTTTTTGGTTCACATTGTTTGAGATGGGCCTTGTTTACACATGAGAAAATAACTGGCATAGGTTATTGCCAATAACATATTCTGAAATGAGTTTTAAAATGCAGGATAGTCCAACTTTGAAACATGGGCTGGATCCAGCCAGGGGGACAATTTTTACTATTCCTTGTCTTTGCCTCAGTGGGTCAGGCTGTTGAGTTTGCCCAGCCAGTCACCTGTTACTGATGCACCAGCACAGCCAAGTGCTGTAGTGTAGAATCCACTACAACAGGCTTTCAGCTTGGAGTTGGGAAGGGAAGCGAGAGACTTGGCATCTAGCACCCAAAGGACTAGGTTTTTTCCCATTTCAGCTATTCCAAAATGAAAGTCCAAACTGGACCTTCATCAAAATACCAGGATAGTTTGTCCATCCAGGACATAACTTAAAATATCTACAAATTAATAACCTGTTCTGCAGTAGCTATTGCTTATTGCTTTTCTTCCCCCCCCATCCTGCCCCGATGAAAAAGGCCATACATGAGGCTGAATGCTGCAAAATGGGGCAGCCACACCTCTGTGTGACTAAGGTGAGTGAAGAGAGTGACTGATAGTAAACCATGGCAATCACACAAGCACCAATCACAAAGTCAGAAGATTTGTTTTCTTTTATTAACAGGAGGTGATGTCACTTTCTTTATATATAGTATATATATTATATATATTTTTGTGTTGTTGGTTTCAAATGTTATGCACTTTTTAATGTTTGTAAACTTTTACTAATGAATAGTGTGATTGCTTCCTGAATATATTAATCATCAGTTGACAAAACATCCTTGTGGCCACAGCTGTTTGTTTCTACCATATGTATCATAGTACTTGTCACCTGAAAATCTTTTGTGAGATATGTGGAGAAAAAAAAAAACACTTCTGATCAGTATTATGAGATCATTTATTAGTGTTAATAAAAAACAAGCCAGCAGTATGCTTGTGGCTCATTAGTGTAATATTAACTCTCACCTTTTAGTGTTTGGAAGCTGAATGCCTTGCCTCTTACTAGCTGTCAAATGCCCTATCTTGTTGGTAACAGAAGTAGTCCATTTGCTTTGAAAACACTGTTACCCTTAAACTAATTATTTATTCATTTGTTTCACTTGGTGTTACTTTCAAACTTAACACATTATTATTGATCTTTTTTTTTTAGTTGTTTCTCCCCCTTTTGCTCTTGCATCATGTCTTCAAGCTGAACTGGTTGCCCCTTTGTCATGGACTACTTACTGTCAATCTAGCACAAGCTCCAGAAGAAAATAAGATTCCAGAGTTTTTCGGTAGTGTTACTTTATTGGTGATCCATGAAGCATCATCAGTAAAATATTGCGGAAAAAGGCAATAGTGAAATAAGTATTTACAGTACATTAAAGTGATGGTTTTCCTTATTTTCCTTCAGTGGTTTATTTCAGTACACTTTCCTTCTTAATTCTTTTGTGTTTTAAATAAAATTAATTTCAGCCTTTCCTCTCTATTTTGTACCTGTTTCTTCTATTTCTCATCCTATTTTCTATTGTTTTTAAAGAAATCATAGAGGCCTCTGCTGGTTTTTGAAACACATCTCTTTGTGATGGAAAATAGCACTGCTAATTTTAGTAGAGTAAATGGCTATTTATGTTCCTCTTCCCCCAAAAGTGTATGAGTGTTTGCTTTATCACTTGAACTCTGCTTGCGTTCTTAATTTGGGGTATTTCTGTAGCATCTATAAACAGGCCTCACTTAATGTAAACATATGGTTAGTCTGTGCCAAGTCACAGCACTGTATCTTGAGTATAATTATTACCAAATCAATTACAGAAGAACTAGTTGAAGTATACTCACACCTTTACTTCTGTATAATTCTCTATAATATAACAGGGACACTGGTGGCAGAACTGGACTTTGACTGGGTTATTTTTCCTTTTGCTGGTTATCTTTTTCAGTGAGCCTGACAGTGGCTTCTGTTCCAGTGTCGTCTTCATATTGTATTGTTTTCATGAGTAAGTACTTAAATGTTTTTTTTAGTCCATGACTTTCTTAGAAAGATCTTCCCAAAAATCTATATAAATTCAACAATGTTAGGTCTGGAATATCAGCATAATATAATACTCCTTAAAGGTTTGGCTTTGGTGGGATGGTGCTGGGTTTGGTTTGGTTTTTTTTGTTTTACTGTCTCTTTAGATGGATGGTTTTGGTGCTTCCTTCACCCTGCAGGACCATCACTTAAAAAGTCTCTATACTCATGTTCTTTTGTTCATAATAAAGTCTATGATTATGTCTGCAAGCATTCTACTTGCAGGGTTTAGGTTACCTGTCCACTTGAAACACACAGAATTCTAGAACTAGAATTGCACAGAGATATTGGCATTTCTTCTGCTTATTTCCCTTAATGTTGGCCGTGTGCTTCAAAAAGCACAGTTAAAAGACAGCAGCAAGCACGCACATACTGTTACTTCATCAAACTATAATTTTAGGCCAAAAGTTCACCATGACCTTCCATACAAAAATTATTAAATAAATATGAAAAAAGTCAGTATACTGATTGCTACTTGGCTGTGTAATTCCCCTTGCCATGTTTTTTTCTCACAATTTTGAAGTGGTAAAAAGTGTATCCTGGTATGACTGCAAACGGATAATTATCTGGTGCTCAGAAGGAGCAACTACCAAAGGGGTTAAGCTGGACCTTTTGCAGTATTTAGCTGCCTTTCTCAGCTAAACTGAAGAATTTCAGGTGTGCTTAATGTTTGTGTTTTATGTTTCAGAAATATCAGTAAATTTTCTGCAAAGGAAAGACTGAGAGCTGCTGTTGAGACTGAGCACAGTATAGTAACCTCAACTTTGACACTTTGCCTTACCTCAGCAGTATTCCTGTGTTGAACTGCTGTATTTTTGTCTTGACTTGTTTATTTGTTTTGCTCTGTCTCTCTTTCTGACTGATTTATTTTCTGTCCTATTCTCCCCTCATGTAAAACAATACCCTAGAAGTATATGGATGTGGAGTACTGTATTTCTGTATATTTGAGTGACTTAAGTCTTGTAGTGGAAAGGTTGTTTCACTTAATCTTTTTGTCCAATGCACAAAGGGGGATCTGTTCCAAAATTCTCATTGCGAGAGAAGCAAAATAGCCAGGAAGGAAGTGTGAATTCAATAAGATAGGACATCAGTATAAGGAAGATATCTTTTCTTAATAGTAAGGCAGGTGGGGCCCAGTATGGAAAAGAGCTTTCTTCATCATATGATGAACAATCAGGATGTGTTGCTAATAGCTAAAAAGGAGGCAAATTGTTCAACCTTAGGTGATATTTTGATTTCAGAACGAACTTCAGTTTTTCAGCAGAAGCATCCATAAATCTGTGGCACTTAACCTTGAGATCAGTCATAGCATCATCGGGTCCTAATGAAAGAGAATGAGAGATTTCTTTGAAAATTAACTCCATCTCAGCCAGATCCAATACAATACAACACATAAATAGTTAACAGCTACTAAAATTATAGAAATCAAGATAGCAGGAACATTCTTGCTGTTCTCTGCAGGCTGAGGCTGAACTTATTTTTTCCTGCCAGAGAGTAGGGACAGAAGTAATCAATATGGATTTTTGGTACATTTCAAGTATTTCATGTAACACACTGCCAATATCTGTCTGAGAGAAAATAATGGTCAAACAGTGATCTGGACAAATAAGATAACTGGGTACTAGGTTGGTTCCTATTGCTGTTAACTCACTATCTAATAATGAGTTATATAGTGAGTTAACTAGGGAGTGTTAATACGAAGAAATCTTAAAAGCAGAGAGTAAAGGTAAACAAAAATATAGTGCAGTCATGCTTACAAAAATCATCCCTGTCTTCTGAAAGAGCAGGACTTCACACTCTGACTTTCTACATTGATTCTTACATTATGGCCTGAAGCTGCTGATGTTTTAGAATGGAGGGCAGGACAGACTTGTCAACACATGACATCTGTGTACAAATGATCTTATTGTATTTTCAGGCAACACATACTTCAGTACCCTGAAACCAAGCATTTATAAAAGGACCAATGCAAGTGATGACTTGCTTATGGGTTCTGAAGGTTTTAGCAAATTAGCCGTCAGTGTTCACTTTCAATCCTATTTGCTATTAAGGCATTCTCTGGTGCTGATCCATGTGCTAGCGTGATAGGTGATAGCCTTTATAAAGGTTTGACTGAGGCAGATGATCTTGAGCGCTCCCAAAATGTCTGAGACAAAGATACGTGTGAAAAATCCACACCACCTTCCTCCAATAGCGAAGACATATAAGTGTTTTGTATTTGTTAAATAATAAGCATATTGTATCAGTGGTTAATCAGTTAATGCACTATCAAGACTACATGTAATTTTGGGGAGGGAGGGGTAGGAGACCGGGGGGTTAGGTTTGCAGCCTGAAAACCATATCCTGACTGAAGTGTGACTACGAAATTAGATCTGGAAAACTTAAAAAGCTTTTAACAGTGTAAGAAGTTTTGCCAAACCCATACAGCACACCACTGTATTTGGAAATCTTTTTCAGGCTAGTGATTTCTTTTGAACAAGGATGGCATGCACTTCATCAAAACACATTGGATAGAAGATGCAACAAAAAGTAGAAATGTTCAGTCTGACTGTACAGCCATGAAAAAGTGTCACTGCTGCACATTGCCCTCCCTCACAGCATCTGCAGGCAGCGCTTGTGACTGTTGCAACACAGTATGATTTAATTTGGTTGGAACAGGATTTTCAAGAGACCCTGTGGAGTATGTCTGAAGCATACCTTCTATCAGCAGGAAGGCTGATCATATTTTTATCAACTAATATCTTCCTATCTGATGTTCAAATGAAAATTTATTATTCACTCTAAAGTATCCTTTGAATATCCATGTGGTAAAAAAAATGGCTCTGCTTTAGGCTGAAGTCTAATAGGATGTCTTGTAGTCATTTGTAATGTCCTGTGGATCTGTACATATTTTATGTGTATATTTGCACTGCAACTACACTATATATTTTCCAATTAAACATCACAGACCAAATGAAAATATGCAACATAAAAATATTGTGTGATATTTAACTTTTTAAAGTACACACTGCTCTCTTCCTGGAAGTTATACACAAGTACAAATAGGACACAACTTATGTGTTTCAGTAAAAATCTTTGTTTCCACAGCCTCATCTTTGATCCTGCAATGCAGTCAAAATGTAGACTGTGTAACATCTGATTATAGTTACCATTTCCCTAGCAACAGACTGATATCTTCATTCAATACATTATGAAGTATATTTCAGAGAACAGGGCATGCTGGAAGGGATGAAAATGGATGACTTAACAGGTTTTTTTCCTCTATAATCCTCTCATCCATGGACACAAACACAATGTTCTCATTTGTTTGGAAGTGCAAACACCAACGATATATAATAATAATGATCCTATAGAAACCGCTACCACTGTGGTGGTGCTACGGAGCCGTCCTCCCCAAAAAAATTAGAAAAGACAAGTACCCCGGAACGTAACCGATAAATAGCACACGGACACCTCCTGGTGGCACTGGGGTGTATTTTTAAATAGAAGGATTTGAAATTCAACCTATGGGAACAGAGGTCCAGACAGCCACGATGGATCTGAGATGATTAAGGTGTTGAGAAAAATGTTTGAAAATTATGCGAGCAAAGTATTGTAATTGCACCTTTCACATTATTACCTTATGGGCTTGACCCACTCCTTAAAGTGGGTCATCTGGTCCAACCCTTCTGCTCAAGCAGCATCATCCTAGAGCACCTTCAGTGGTACTTGATATGATTTTGAAAATTGTTCTTACATGGAAACTTGAAAACATTTTTCATATGTGAAAAAGCTGTATGTGGATTGGGTTGTGCCAGTCATTTTATTTTAAAGGGACAAGATGACATGTATTCATACTGTATTTCGTGTTATCATATTACTTTGCACTCACATGGTAGAAGGAGGCAGAAGATACATGTCAACTTGAAATGTATTTCCCTTATACCACATTCTTTTCTATTTGAACATTTGAGTAGTGCTGCAGAGTGAATATAACAGAAGAACTTGCATAATCAATTATACCAGTGGTAATGTCTGGAACTGAACATGTTATTTAATAGAATTCAATACACTTACATGTAATCTATTACTTTTTTATTGATATATGTTTCATACACATTATTAAACTGATTACCTTTTTTACTGTTTCTGTAACCATATACTGACATGTCTCTATCTAGTTTGTTTTGCCACTTTCTGAAGACTTAGCACATTGCTTGTTTGAGCCTGAGACATCTGCTTTTAATATATTAAATATTAGCTCATTTGTCCTATTTGAGTAAAATGAAAAGACTTTTGAACATTTTTGTATAGGAAACATGCAGTTTCAGAGAAGCATGGGCACTCTGTAGGTAACAGCTTCAAGGTGAAAACTCAGGTTTTGTTATTCTGTGGTTTTGTCTACAGAATAGAGAACACTTAGGAAGGGTTTCAGAAAGATCATGCTGAGGCTTTTTTTCATAATACGGAGGCATCCTGACTAAGAATATCAATCTATCCCCCTACTTAGCCAGGAGTAATAGGTTTCTGCCCTGGGAAGAAGTGGTTGAGTTCAGACCAGTGAAAGACTCCCTTTCTTACTACTTTTTTCTTGAACCATGAAGATCGTCGATAAAATATTTATTAAAATACATGTATTTCTATCTATACCTGTATATCTTTATTTATATCTATACATCTAATCATGTGGATTAGATATAGCCATATGGAGACATACTAAGTACGTTTATACAGATATAATCATATAGATCTATATAGATAGGTATATATTGCATATTACATATCTCTATAATGATATAACTGTATAATTTCCCAAGCAGAGAAATCACGTGACTCAGTAACTACAATCACATGCCAATTCACTTATTTTTTCAGTTCCAGCAATAGGAAAAGCAGAACACATTTTTCTTGAGCATTATAATACCTAAGTAGTCCAGGCAGGATGAGATTATTTTTGTCTTTGTTCAAATGTCTTTGTAATGGCACGTTAGCATTTATATTCCAGCAAAGATAGTACACCAAGTGTTTTGCAAATACATTACAGGACAAGGGAGCGATTTTATCTTAAAAGCTTTCGTGGTGCAGTGTGACAGCTTGGGCTTTGAAATTTGTGATTTCCATGAACCAATCTGCCAGGCTGTATGACAAGGTAAGTACAAACGTGCTGTACATGAAGTGAAGGTGCACACATGGAAAAGGTTAGCCCTTTCTTTCCGTTATCATCTTTTAGCAATAAACCAGTATACTCACTCATCTTTCCCAGAGAGCTGAAATAAATATCAGAGGGAAACATTCTCCCACAGGGATTGTTTTTGACTAAGCTCATTTAGTGGCTCTGAGTATGGCAGCCACTGAGTATGAGACTCAGAACTGCCTCCTAAACCCTTTGTTCTTCCAGAAAATTGAGTTCCTACTCTTTTAGACAGCTATTCACCACTTTTACCAGTGATCTTTTAAAGTCAAAACTCGAAACCTTAAATAAGGGACCTAAACGTAGCTCAAGGTCCAGATTCTGTTTCCTTTTGCGGCTGAAGGTAAGATCTCTTCCTCTTTCCTGTTGAAGCCGTAGAAACTAGGGGGCACAGCACCAGGCCTGACAGAGTTCAAGAAGCATTTGGACAATACTCTCAGGCACTTGGTGTGACTTTTGGGGATGGTCCTGTGCAGGGCTAAAAGTTGGACTTGACGAACCTTGTGGGTCCCTTCCAACTTTGCACGTTCTGTGATTCTGTGAAACTTTGGGTCATTTTGCTCTTTTAAGAAAGTGCCTCAAGCATACATGAAACAAAGCAAGGGGCAGATGATCATGGAAGTACACTGTGTCTTAGCCTAACAGTCATTCTTCCTAGGACACCACTTTATCAAAGGATGTAGCAATAGTGCCTGTTTCCACTACAGTTTGAAGAATAAAGCTTTGATCCATGACATCAGCAGTTTAAAATAATTCCCATCCATTGTCTGAGGCTTTGAATCTCCATCGTCCACCTTCTAGGCAAGAAAGAATCCTGGTGCTGGGAGTCTCAAGTCTTCCTTTTAAAGCATTTCCCTAATGTGTAAAAAGAAATTAAAGACCTTACTTACTTTCTCCCAGATGAAAGTCCTAACCACTAGATTACCTCACAATGGGTCCAAAACTATGCTGATTGTTTTCTTTAAGGAAACAGGGAGGATTGATAATCTCATCTTCAAAGGAAACTGCTCAAAGGAATTTACGTACTTAATAAGAGCAGTCAAGCCAAAGAAGAGAAAGGCACCCCCAAGCCCAAAGGCAGAGATTTACATCCTTGACAAGCAGGTCTTAAACACCACTTAGTGCTCTTCTTTACATGCTTATGTACAGGC